TCTTGAGTTGACTCCAAATGTGAATCCGCTGTAGATTTATAATTATTACTTTCTGAATGTAGCTCTAAAATCTGTTCAGTGGTTTTGAGATATTTCGCAAACAAACAGCTAATTGAAGAAGTTAGCAAAGTTTTAAAAACAAATCTCGCACAATCAGTTACGGTTCAGAATATAAAATTGGGGATCACTCTCGACTACTTCAAATTGTAGTTCAGTATCTATAAAACTGACTTTTTTATTTTTGCTAAGATTGCTTTGCTGTTGCGACCATCTTTATAAGTGAATCAGTTGTAAATGTACTTTTTGTTTTAGCTTCATCACATCTTTAATACATCATGAGGGAAACTACCACGACGACTCTTTATTTGTTGCCACTCGGTGACGTCGTCTCCTGACCGACTAACCCTGAATCTCTCAGCTGTTACGACTCGGAGCGTTTACATAAACACGTGTTCGCGTGTCCAGAATTAACGATAGTTCTTAAAGAATAATTCAACAAACAAACTCAGCTGCGACACAGTTTCTGCGCTTGTTTCGTGCACATTAGAGATGTGCTGGCATGGAAGAATCTTCCTCGTGAAAGAAACAGTAATGCGTTAAAGGGATAGCTCAGATGTTTTGTTCTGTTGAATGATCACAAACAATTGTTGCAAAGTAAGAATCAAACATAAAAATGTTGCCCTGAACTGTAATGAATAGAGCAGTTTGAAAGAGTTTAATCCAGTAGTTTGATAAAAATGATATGTAGTTCTGAAACGCAGGTACGCACGCAATGTAAACAAACACTTAGATCTGTATACGTCACTCTCTGGGCGAAGCGCCCGCCTTCTTTTGGGGAAATTTCCCCTCCACTTGACTGGAGGTGAATGAAAATGTAAACTTCTGACGTGTTTGGTAAGAAAACTCTTTTATAAATAGGACGACAGTAATAGCGTGTCGGGTAAATTATCACTAAATGTCAGAGTAATGATGTTCAGCGTTATAAAGATAAACTTACATAATTGTGGATTTAAGCGTTCTTATTACTGGCCTGTTTTTGTACCTTATCTGGTACTTTAGCGGGACGGAGTGGGAATAGGAAATATTACCAGGAGTGAGTTGGACAACTTGAAATGTATGTGACTTCCATTTTGGTGTGTGGCTACATCTAGTCGTAAGTAGGCCTGTCACAATAAACAAATCAGTCGCATGATAAATTAAAATTATCGACCTCATTTTCTTTTATTGTCTTTATCGTTTCTTTATCTCTTTCTACTGAAGACACTGGATGACGAAAGACTCAACCCCTCCCTTTCTCTTTTCTCTTTAAAATCTGTTTTAACCGTCCAAAATCACGTTTTTGGATCATTAAATGCAGCTAAGTTGAGAAGCTAAGCTACGAGCTAAGCTAACAGGCTGACCTCGGGAAAAAACCTCCGTCTTGTCGAAGCTCCAAAATTCACAGTTGGAACTCGTGTCTTTGTGCAAAAAGTTGTTTTTCTCTGCAAAAAGAAGCTGAGAACTTGTTTACTGATTTTTTTATTAAAAGCTTTGTGTGAAAAATGCTAAAGAGCTCAAACCACACCGAGCGTACGCCATTTTGAGAACCGAAGAGAGACAGCTCATGACACGTCAACGGGCCTCCCTCCCATTTTTCTTAGAGACACGCAGCTCACTCCCTCACTATCCATCCTTCAGTTCAAACAGTCATCCGGTGGTCGAAAACAGGTACAACATTCAAAACAAATGAACAAGTTTTTTTTTTTAATTTGACAGTAATTATTAATTATTGTAAAATTTCAAACAATATTATCGTTTATCGCAATAATTTCTGAGACAACGAATCGCCCAGCAAAGTTTGTTATCGTGACAGGCCTAGTTGTAAGAAAGGTTCATCTTGAAAATTAGGTTGCCAGGTCAAAATCCAAGATGGCCACCACTATATATTTGCATAACTACCCCTATCATTTGAGTATACTATGATTTCTAGTTTTTATATTGCTTAAAAGTACAGTTTCCTTAAATTAATGGGGTGGCCGAAGGTTAATCTATGGGGGCCAAGGCCACCATTGGCCACCCCCTGACTCCTCCATTGCACCTGGTGGTGGATTAAATTGCTCTCCATTTTCCAGGATCCATCACTGCACAGACTTAGTCAAACAAAAAATAAAAATAAAAACTACCTCTGTTCTTCAGTATATCTCCTCCCAACTTTAATATCTCGCATCAAAAACACTTAGGTTTACTTTCATCTTCTGTTCAATTCCAGTTCAGAAAAACACTCATCTTGAAAACTACAAACATTCACTCTTCAAGCCCCTCAGAGACGAGGAACATCAGCCTGTTTTCCTTTGAGCACTGCTATGAAATACTAAAACTTTGACTGCGCCACAGTTTAATTACCCCAAAAATAATCTTTTTATAGCAAGATTAAAGGTAAGTTTTAATTTGTTGCCTCAGTTTATCTTGAACTTTAAAAGGTGGATCTTAAGATGCTCACAGTAACAAATTTACCATCAATATTTGATGCTGACATCATTTGGGCTACAGAAGCAGTTTGTTCTCTCTAGTTCTGCCGTCCCGGTAGGATAATCGGTATTTCAGTCACATTTGGATTTTAAAATTCATGCGAGCATCCAGTTATAAACTGAAGCGCTGAAGTTTTACAGTAAAGAGGATGAAAAAGAACTAAGATGGTAATGATCTCCGCTGGATCAACATTAATATTCATTACACTCTGGAGGAGTTTCTGATTGGGCCTCCTTTCAAACGGGAGAAAAATGCTGGAGGTGAACCTGATTAGGCGCCGAGTCAAACTCCGGTTTAAATCCAGTTTTATTTGATTAAACGTGACAACAGTAGCCACAGATTTTTTATGGTTAAAGCAGCTTAAGTTTCTGTCCTAACTGTGAGTAATGAGTGTGAACGGTTGTTGGACTTCAGGGAATTCAGAGGTGAAGGAGGCGGTGATGAAATGCCTCTAAGGGTCCTCTTCATCACTTCAGCTGTCACATCTGTCCGTCAGCTGCCTCCATCTTGAACACTACACCCTGATGGCTTCCTGCTGTCCGTCCCCTTCATTTTTCTGCAGCAGATTGGCTGTGAAGCAGATTTCTCATGTTACATTTAGCTGACACCGGCTGATGTCACAGGGGGGCTGTTGAAGGAGAAGTGGCTAACGGTCCTGACTCCACACATCCAGAGAAAGTTAAAGACCTCCCTCGTTAAAACTTCTCATTTTCTCTCAGCTGTGTTTCTCCTTCGCTCATTATTTTGAATTAACGTCATAAAACAGGAACAACAACTCAAAATATTACAGCTGGTTGAAGCAGGAGTTGGACTGAGACCCAAACCAAAAATAGAACGTGTAAATTTTCTGTAAACATGCAGAGTGAGTTCTGTTAAGTTAACCAAACGCTAGCTAAAAGCTAAAATAAACCAATCAAACTTTATTTATTAAGCACCTTTCACACAGCGGGGAGTAACATAAAACCATTCACAGCCGAGAAGCAAACAAGAAAAGCAATAAGTAACAAAACGTCAGAGCTAGCTAAAATCTCTATATAGCAAATTGGTAGCTAGAAACTAAAAGAAGCAAAATGGTAGCTAGAAGCTCAAGTTAACAAAAGACTAGTCAAAAACCTCAAAGTACCAAAATTCTCACTAGATACTAAAATCTGCAAAAGGACTAGCTAAAAGCTGAAAGTAGCAAAAGGATAGCTAGAAACAAAAAGGAACAAAAGACTTTCCAGAAATTAAAAGCAGCTAAATGGTAGCTATGAGCTAAAGTTAACAAAAAAGCTAGACAAAACTAAAATAACCAAAACTCAAGCTAGAAGCTAAAATATGTGAAAAACTACCTAAAAGCTTAAGGTAGCAAAAAAACTAGCTACACGCTAAAAGTAGAAAAATACTTACTAGAACCTAAAACTAACAAAGTAACAAAAAGTGTTCGCTAACTGCTAAAGTAGCAGAATAGTAACTAAGAGTTAAAAGCAGCAGAACAGTAGCTAGAAGTATAACGTGATAAAAGTGTACAATGTAAACGTAGCAAAAGGTTAACTAAAAGATAAAAGTGGGATTAAAAGACAAAAATCAAGTGGTTTGAGCACATTTTGAAGAGAACATTGATTCCAAAGGAATTGAAGGTTGCGTTTCTACGGGAAAAAAAACTTGTGAATAAGTTAAATATTGTGAAAAAATATAAAAGTTGCAAAAACCAAAAGTCATAGCACCCATCTCCCAAATGAGCCGAACATTTTGATATATGAATGGCTAACAAAAGCACAGTCTGCAGAAGTAAAGTTTTAATAAAATGTGCAGAAATAACTGACTCAGCGTTCCCTCGATTACACCTAAATGAATAAAAAGGTACTAATTGCATGCTTAAAGCCCCGCACCGTTGGTGAACAGACCCTGTCACCCGGGCCCTGCTGGCTTCAGTTCCCAACACAACGAGAAGACACAAAGTCCAGGATTCTTAAAATGCAGAACCAGGAATCAAACCACCAACCTTTTCATTTAGACCTCAGTCTAGCTGTATTTATAAAACACTTTTCAAAGAGTAACCTCGAAGGTTCCTCAAAGCAAAGCAGCTTTCAAACAACATCGTTCTCTCTGGACAGCGGTGACCTCAGGGGTAAAGTCTGTTCTCCTGAGGTTTCTAATGTGATTTTGGATCTTAAACTAGATTTGGCTCTGTGGGGATTGCTGCTAATCTAAATAATGAATAGCTTGATGGATCGTCTCGTCTCCGTCCTGACGGGCCATGTGCTCGCTGTAAAATGGCCTTATTACTGTTGTGTTGACAGCACCAGGCCGATTAGATGATTGATGGACGGCACGGCGGCACAAACGAGTCCGGCCGAGGCAAAAGGCAGTTTGAGTCTCCAGAAAAACATGCGAGCGCAGTCAGTTGAATGAAGCCGTCTCGTTTAGCGCTCGTCACTCTCTGAAAATGAAAAGAAATCTGCCAACACGTGTCCTGATCAGTTCCGTGCTTTTCTTGCTTCCCCCTGCAGGCGCTCTACAACTCGATCAAGAACCAGAAGCTGCAGTGGACCCTGTAAGTAATCTCAAGGGTTACGTGTACTTTCCATGGCTTTTTCTTCTGTTGCTGTTCAGATTTCGTGGTTTGCCCCGAGCGCTCCCTCAGAGGAAACAACGAACCGAATAACTTGCTCGCATGCTAATAATGACATGTTTGCTGTGTGGCGTTTGAAGGATACATTAGTGTGTCACGGGTTGCTATTCTGGATCACAGCTTCAGAGCACCTCGGAGATGCCAATTAAGTCACTAGCTTTCCGAGCTTTGTTGCCATAGCGACGGCACTATGGTTACGACTCCTTAGCTACCGCATTGCTCTTGCCTCTCCGTGTTCTCTCAGCTGCAAACACACATTATTACAAACAAATGAGCTGCAAATACACACATTGAATACGTGCGTTTGTTGGAGAAAACCTTTTCCAAAAGACAAAACGGAGGGAGTGTGAGTATCCCCACTTCAAATGGCTCCCCACCTGCATCCTGTACAAAGGTGCGACCATAGCCTCCCACTAATTTTCCAAAAATAGCTTCGGCAGCAGCGTTCCCAAAACGGCTGAGTAAAAGTGGTCAGAGGAGCAGCTCGAGTTCAAACATCTCTGCTGACACGTAGACGGCTGTTTAAACCCTGAAACGGCGTAAAAGACCTCAGGGAGACAGAAAATGATGTCACCTGTACAACGCTGTCAGGAAAAGGAGAATCCACAGATAAAGAGACGCAGCAGCGTGTTCCTTCGTTGTTCTTGTTTTTACGTTCAGCTGGAATTGAGAACGATAACACATTGTGTAAAATGTAAATGTAAACAGAATGCAATGATTTGCAAACCTCATAAACATGTCACATGTTGAAGCTAAGGAATTACACAATACTTTAGTCAAAAGATTTGGTCATTTTGAATTTATTGGCAACAACGCATCTTTAAATCAGTCGACACTAAAGGCTCTAAAAGCAAGTGGTATGAATAAGAAACATCTGGGGGAGCATTTTGGAAGAAATTAGGTTAAATATCAACAAGTCAAGTCGGTATAAAAAGTATTACAGAGCGGTTGAATACCAGAAGTAAAGATGGGCAGAGGTTCACCAGCCTGAGAAAACTGTCTAAAAGTAGTGCACATTAAAACAAAGGCAAACTTACTTGTTTAACAAAAAGATATTAATCCCGACTGAGCAAATACATATAATATTTAAACGTTTTAATACAGTAAAATGTTCAGTGGTCTGACAAATCAAAATACGAAAGTCTTTTACGAAACTGTGGAGACCACGTCCTCATCATAAAGATGAGAGGGCCCATCCGGCCTGTTATCAGCACACAATTTAAAAGCCTGTCTCGCTGATGGTATGGAGGTGCATTACACATCTGGAAAGGCCCCATTATTGCAGTAAAGTTTATACAAGGTTTAGAACCCGTATCCCATCCAGATGATGTCATTTTCTGGGAAGGCCTTGCTTATTTCAGCAAGACACTAAACCACAACCTGCATCTATAACAGCAGCATGGCTTCACAGAGGAGTCCAGGTGCTGAGCTGACCTGCCTACAGTCCAGACCTCTCACTAACTGAAAACATTTGATGCATCATAAAATAAAATAAAAATCTATCAAAGAAGGCCCCGGACAGTTGAGCAGCTTGAATTCTCCTCAGGACCTCCAACAACTGGTCTCCTCAGGACCTCCAACAACTGGTCTCCTCAGGACCTCCAACAGGTCCTGGAAGTTCACAGACTGTGGTTAAAAAAAAGGGGATTGTGTCACAGTGAGCAACGTGTGTTGTTGCCATCAAATTTAAAATTACCAGTTTTTTTTTCCTTCACATGGAACAGTTTCTTAGTTTCAACCTTTGAATTGTTTATTATGTTCCATCATGAATGAATTATGGAATTTCCAAATCACTGCATTCAGTTTTTATTTACATTTTATACAACATCCCAACTTTTCCAGAACCAGGCTTGTAAACGCTCCTTGTGTCGCCACTTCTCCACCGTTACACTTGAACACATTTTTCATCACCCAGAAACCTGTAGTTTTTTTTGTTACATTTATTGACTGACTCTTGGCGACAGATTAAACTCCACATCAGCTGCTTTCTTTCCTTGCTGCGTTCATTGATCTCTGTTTGTGATCACGGCACCGTTCAGTTCTATTTATAAGTTGTCTCAGCATTGATGAACTTCCAGCTCGAGGCTTAAACACCACGACTTGTGATGGAGGTGTGATGCCAAAACGAACGGTTCGCTCTGATTAGACGAACACAAACTGTACGTGAAGTCGGTTCTCGTCACAGGCGGGTGCATCGTGCAGATATGTTTTGATTTTGTGCTCCAACTCCGAACGATGGATGTTCTTTCACACCCACGCAGAAAAACGGCGCACACACGGCCGCTGTCAGCCGTGCACCCACATGTTTGTTTCCTCACACTCGGCGTATGCAGCGCACACTTGCTACCACGTTCAGGAGCGGGGGTGGAGGGCAGAGGGAGAGGCAGCTCTGAAACAGAGACGCAACAGGTCCAGCTGCAGATAGAGGTTGGTTCCTGGGCAGACAGGAGATGAAAATAGCAGATAAATCTGGGCAGTAAAGTCTTTGGGATTGGGGTTTTACTTTGAATTATTTCTCTAATAGAATTTGGGCCACCTGCATCATGAAGGACCACACTCATCCAGCACACACTTTTTGCCCCACTCCCCTCAGGAAGGAGGTTAAGGAGCATTAAGTGTAGAACCACTAGACTGAGGAACAGCTTCTACCCTGAGGCTGTTAGACTCATGAATCTCTAACCAGAATAATCACTGTGAAAAACCACATCATGTTGCTGCTGATCTGTTTCATGTTGCTGCTGATCTGTTTCATGTTGCTGCTGATCTGTTTCATGTTGACGTGTTCATTCGTACTCATCTGCTCACACAGACTCATGTTCGTGCTGCTGTTTGGCGTGTTGTTTTTATGCTATTAGTGTGTTTTTAGTTAACGTTTTTCTTAGTTCATATCTTAGATCTTATCGCTGTTTTTCTTTTACGTTTTAATTCTTTTGTTGGATGTAACTGGGACCCTGTGTACACAGTTTTGTTCCACCACATGTGCCACATGTCGTGTGAATGACAAATAAAGAACCTTGAATCTTGAACTTGAACCTAATTAAAGGTCAAATATAGGACTGATGGCCTCATTGTGTATTAAAAAAATCCCTTAGGCCATCTCCAGAGAAGGTCTAACCCCTTTGATCCACCTACGTTTGGTAGTCTGGACATAATCTGTCTAGAGACCACAGGACCTCCTCCTGAACCGACGCCACCCCACACAGGCAGCCGAGTTATCACCTGGACAGTTCTGGGTTTTAAAAACGTCATCTCAGCCCATTAAATATAATTAAACAGCCAATTCATTAAATTCTGTTCAGAGGTTCATGAGATATTTTTTCTAACAGACAAATGAACAAAGACCAAACCATTAGATCTGCTTCTTACCTCTCTGTAGAGATGATAAATATTAGGGGTGCACACCCTGATTTCCTTAATTTTGGGAAATCAGAAATTGGCCAATACTTGCATGAGAAACCGAATTTACCGATTATTATTTTTTTTTTTGCTTTAACAACAATTGTCTGAACTTCATTTATATTTCAGAGCACGACCTCGTGGCCAGTTAACACAAGTTTGGATTGTTTCTAGGATATTGCAAGGGTGTGTTTTTTCAGTTAAATAATATTGGAAAGTTGAAGGTGCATTGTGACCTTATAACCTCTGACAGTGTCGCTTATAAAACAAAATCGGTATCGGCCAAAAAACAAAATCGGTGCACCCCTAATAAATATGTTTGCTGAGTATCAAAATATTAAGTTTAGGTTCGTTGCAAGACTTTTTCTCCTTCATTGTATGTAAATATAACACTTGAATGTAAATAATTACTGTTAACATAGCAGAAAATGTAAGGACATTTGTGTTTGGTTGATTATTTTGTTGTTGCAACAATGCTTCTTGACAGTAAATTTGATACTGTTGTGGCTGTGTATGGTTCTTCCACATGCTCCAGAGAATCTTGTTTGTTAAATTTTTGAATCGTTATATTGCCAAAATGTGTTGTTTTTTCAGACTTTATTATTCTAATCTAATAAATGACACCAAACAACAATCATTAACTGGAAAATTTGTTTACCAAAGAAAATATGTCAAGTTTTTAATCAACACAACCCACAAACTCAACTTCACTGCTCAATCCAAAAAAAGTATTTTCCTAACAAATACGTCACTGATTATCAGGAAATTAACAGGCTTTTCAGCAATATTAGATCTATTGCGAAGAAGCAATAGAAGCATCCTTGAAACACCTCCTTTTTGTGGTGGAGGAGTGTGTGCACCTGAATGATCCTTGGAGCTATGCTGTTGGGTCCCTGGTAGGGTCTCCCAAGGCAGACTGGTCCTAGGTGGTAGACCAGACAAAGAACGATTCAAAAACACTTGTTTGGTCAAAACAAAACAAGGAGCTCGATGTTCCTTGTTTGGATGTGGGTTACTGGGGCCCCACCCTGGAGCCAGGCCTACGGGAGAGGCTCATCAGCAAGCGCCTGGTGACCGGGTCTCTACCCAAGGCGCCTGGTTGGGCTCAGCCTGAATGAGCAACATGGGTTCAGTTCAGTTCAATTAAATTCAGTTTATTTATAAAGCGCCAAATCACAACAAAGTTGTCTCAGGGCACTTTACAGGAACATTCACATAAAAGCCAGTTAGTAAAGTTCTGTATCTAAGGAATCCATCAGACAAGTTGAATCTTGGCTTCGTTGCAGTCCCCCATCCTGAGCAAGCACAGTGGAGACAGTGGAAAGAAAAAACTCCCTTTTAAAAGGAAGAAACCTCCAGCAGAACCAGCTCAGGACAAGCGGCCATCTGCTTTGACCGGCTGGTTGAGAGGACAGGAAGGAGAGACAGACGAACACAGAATGGTAGGTCCAGATATAGGTCCAGGTCCAGGTATAGGTCCAGGTCCAGGTATAGGTCCAGGTGTACCTGAAAGACAAAAAAACATG